GGTCTCTTGGAAAGATTCGGAACATTTGTTATAGCTTCGATGTGGTTGCCTGATCTGCTGTGTGTTGTGTCACATTACATGAACCCATGTGTGTCTGGCATTGAAGGCGAGTGGAGCCACCTCGTACCCTATCACTGGGGACGTGTGGCTTCCAAGATGACAGAAGCGCAGGCCAGACAACACGTCATTGACCATAGGCCCTGTTGTGGCCCGACCAGGAGGCCTGGCAACAACTAGAGGATTCATCCTGCGCTGCAAAGAAAAGTTGTGTGTCTGTCTGTGTGCTTGCATTGATGGCAGCGGGTCCTGCTAGATTGGAATGCGTCCGAGAGACTGTGTGTTTCTGCTTGGGGAAGACGGATTGCGAAAGCATGTTCGCATTTTCACACATGTGGAATTTGTCACGTGCAAGCACATGGACAATCATTTCGAGTGCCACAACCCGGAAGCCGCACAAACTAGCACATGTGGTTTGAAGCCGTGCGTGCTTGTGACTGAACAGTAGCCGTCCAGAGCAATGCATTTCGCCCCGATCGAACGAGGAGAGTGTTTCTTCAGAGGCGAGCTCTCCCCAATCTTGATCAAAACCGCTTGCGAAAAATTGGCCAAAGCGCCTGACCAGTGGAAACCAGCTGAGAGATGGAAGGAAGTTTATGACGACGTGCCTTGGGAAATCATGGTTCGCTACCTGCGTTACTGGCCACGTATTGGCTCCCGCATTACAGCAGGCCTCAGGCTTCTTCGACGCACGAAGGCCCCTTCCCGAAGTGTTATCAGGTGGGTGAAGGAGAAGAACCGCTGGAGTTGCCGCGCGTTTCTCTCGTTTGTGATTTTGTTTATGTTTGGAACGACGAAGATGAACAACAACGGCAGTTTGTCCTTCAGATGAAACACCTCTCACTTGTTGCCATCCGTCTCGGTGGTCCGGGGGAACTTCCTGACCTTGATGCTGGAGCAATACCTTTGACCGACCAGCTTCGTGCAAAGTTGGGGTGGGCAATAATTAATGGATCTTGAGGCGGGAAGGCAGAGTGCCAGCAGCTGGGAAGGCAGAGTGCCAGACGTTGTCGCGTCACCCAGCTGTACCCTGCTTCGCCTGCACGTGATTCGCTTGACAGTGTGGTCAACGCAGAAAAGCGCAACATCCAGCAGTTCGTAGCCACTTCACGCGATTTGTGCATCCCTAATACTATCAAACCCTAAAACTATGGCACTCTGCCTTCTAGCCCCAAACCCTAAATACTAAAGACCCTGAAACTCTAACCCTAACCCTTTCATTACCCTCAAACCCTAACACTATGGCACTCTGCCTCCTAACCCCAAACCCTAAATACTAAAGACCCTGAAACTCTAACCCTAACCCTTTCATTACCCTCAAACCCCTATGGCACTCTGCCTCCTAACCCCAAACCCTAAATATACTAAAGACCCTGAAACTCTAACCCTAACCCTTTCATTACCCTCAAACCCCTAATACTATGGCACTCTGCCTTCTAACCCCAAACCCTAAATATACTAAAGACCCTGAAACTCTAACCCTAACCCTTTCATTACCCTCAAACCCTAACACTATGGCACTCTGCCTGCTAACCCCAAACCCTAAATACTAAAGACCCTGAAACTCTAACCCTAACCCTTTCATTACCCTCAAACCCCTAATACTATGGCACTCTGCCTTCTAACCCCAAACCCTAAATATACTAAAGACCCTGAAACTCTAACCCTAACCCTTTCATTACCCTCAAACCCCTAATACTATGGCACTCTGCCTTCTAACCCCAAACCCTAAATATAATAAAGACCCTGAAACTCTAACCCTAACCCTTTCATTACCCTCAAACCCCTAATACTATGGCACTCTGCCTTCTAACCCCAAACCCTAAATATAATAAAGACCCTGAAACTCTAACCCTAACCCTTTCATTACCCTCAAACCCCTAATACTATGGCACTCTGCCTTCTAACCCCAAACCCTAAAGACCCTGAAACTGTAAACCCTGTGCCAGGTCTTCTTCATCCTCGTCTTCTCGGAAAAAACATTAAAAAATGTAGTTTTTTTGTGTGTTTTAAAGTTTTTAAAAATTTTTAAAAGTTGTTTAAAGTCTTTAAAAGTCTTTCAAATTCTTTTTAAAGTTTGTAAAAGCTTTTAAAAGCGTTTAAAAGTCTTTTAAAGTCTTTTTAAAGCTTTTAAATGTATTTTAATGTTTTTAAAAGTCTTTTAAATATTTTAAAAGCCTTTTAAAGTTTTGAAAAGTCTTTTAAAGTTTGCAAAAGTCTTCTAAAAGTTTCTAAAAGTCTTTTAAAGTCTTCTAAAAGTTTTTAGAATGTTTTTTCTTGCATTTGAAAGTTTTTAAAAGTCTGTAAACGTCTTTAAAAGCCAACTCTGTCGAAAAAGCCCTGTGGATCTAAACCTTGTGGTTCTGGTTCGGTGCAAAGGGGCAATGATACATGGACATATACAACATATATACAGAGAGAGATACATCTAGACTCATACACATACCTACATATACGTACACATACATGCGCAGACATACACAGCCATACATACACATACACACACATACATACACATACATACAGATACATGCAGCTACATAAACATACATATGTGCGTACATACATACATGCATGTGTAGTATAACCTAAAAGTAGCAGTTGCACTCAGCTGTCGGCCTGTGGTGAGAAGCCGAGACGCTTGCTCGGGCCTTTGCAATCCAGAGTCAACTGTTCACCGTGAGCTTCCAAAGACAGGAAATGTGCAAGGTAGAGAAGCAGTCCGCTGCTCATTACTGCTGCATTTCTTGGCGTGCAAGCATGTGTCACGCCTTCACACGTGCCCTCACCTGGCACAAAGCCCAATCTGCCACAGAAGTCAACGATCACCGACCTGCGATGCCCTTCGAGGGCTCTGCTTCCGATGGAACTCTGCTCGGAGAGTCTCACCACGGGCAGGGATGATACAACCTGCAAGGCTATGGGAGTCGCTGGACAGGTTGGCAGCGTGCAATGAGCACACTTACTGTGTTTGTGCCGCACACTGTACAGCAGCTATGAGTGACGGAAAGCACTGGGTGGGAAATCTTGGGAACTTACATATCGCTTGAGGACCTTCCGCGAGAAGGAAAATGATCAGCATTACCGCGTAGCCTGGCCTCACCCCACTTGGACGGCGAGGGCACCTGTCATACACGGTATGTTTGTGCTGAATGTTTGCTGTCTCTATGTACATGAGAGCAAACGTGGGAAAGTGTATATATTATATATCTGTGTATATATATGTATACATACATGCACAAACACATACACATCCACATACACACATCCACATACACACAGACACACACGCACACACACACACACACACATCAACACATACACACAGACATGTACACCAGCCAACAACAACAACCAACAACAACCAACCACCACCACCACCACCACCACCACCACCACCACCACCACCACCACCACCTCCACCACCACCACCACCACCACCACCACCACCACCTCCACCACCACCACCACCACCACCACCACCACCAGCCGCAACAACAACCACAGCAGCAACACAAGCAAAAAACAACAACAACCACAACACCACCACCAACAACAACAATACCAACACCACCACCACCAACAACAACAACCACCACAACCACCACAATCGCAACCACAACCACAATCACAACCACAATCACAACCACAATCACAACCACAACCACAATCACAACCACACAGCCACAACCATAACCACGACGACGACACGACGACGACAACAACTACGACGACGACGACAATAACATCATCCTCATCAACATCATCATCATCAACAACAGCAACAGCAGCAGCATCAACAACAACACATACACATACACCTGCACAAATTTTTCCTACACATAGATGCAATCAGCAAGCAGATGCAAGCGCACTCTTAGGTCAATCCGTATAGTTGAGTTGGGTCTCGCATGACAAAACCCCAAGGCGAAATCTACGCTCGCAACTCTTAGCCAAGTAAAATTTGCCAACCTCTCCTCCTCCCCTCCCTCGTTCAACCAGCATGTTGGCTGTCTACTCCGCCAGAACGACGTTCCAAGCCCCGAAACCCCTTTTCGACCTTGAACCCTCACCACGCAAACACCGAAGCGGAACCCTGGAACCTGAGCAGCCGTTCGAGCCGGCTTGCGCGGAGGGGTCGAGCCTTGGGAAACAGATCGCGTGTGGACCGAAGGATTCGACTCTGAGTCATTGGCGAGCGCACCTGCTTACATCAAGGTTTGAAGAAATTTGAGGAAGCCCTGATTCTGGGTTCTTCCCCAATTCGGAAAAAGGAGGCCAGCATCAAAGCTGCACTGTATTGAAACTTGCCCAGGGTTTCCGCTTCATGGCCCAAGCATTCCTCGTCGAGCTTAAGGCGAAAGCACCTGCATGTCTTACCTCCCACCTCCTTTGATGAACGTACAGAAGCTCGCAGTTGCTCCTAGAGCCGCTTCCCGAAAGATGGCGCCAGCGATGGTGCTCTTCGTGTGTGCGTTTGTGTGTGTGTGATGACAGAGGCTCAGTCAGCATCGGCATCAGCAGCATCTCCCGTCACCGTCACCAGCGTGATGCTTCATCATCTTCTTGGTCACCATTTCGCACAATCACGCACATGAGACATGGTCACGACATGTCACCACCATCGTGGACTGACATTGCAGGAGTTCAGGAGGTGAATGATGGGAGTGGGAACGCCAAACCCAAAGCGAGCTTGGTTGCGCCCTCTGCGCAAAGTTCGCCGGTCGCTTCCTGAGCAGTCCTGCTTCGCAGCTGCCATGGGTACCCTGTGCACAACTAACCATCTGTGAATCTGCATCGACCTCGAATCGACACCTGTGAAACCTGGCAGTCGCGCCAGCGGCCGCCGGAAAAACTTCCCAAACTTTCAGGTGCTACCCGAGGTTAAAATGTGGGGCATAAAAATCCCATCGAACTACGGTGCGACTGTGCAGACATGTCTCTCACCATTCCTTTACATCTTGCATGGTGGCATCGGGTAACAAGTTTGCAAACTTCTGCATGTCGGCGAGGATCTTGCTGGTGCTTTGATCTTCTGTTGCCTCCAGGCTGCGATAATCACTTCCGAAGCGTCGCAAAATGTAGCCTTCCTTTATGCCTTTCACGTCCGCTGGACGTTCGACTTTGGAGACCACGGGCGGTGAGGCAGTGCCAAAAGAGAGGCCCAGAGGCCTTGCGTGCCACATGAACTCTCTCAAGCTCTTGTCCGGAAGCTCGAACACGCAGATCATGCCTCGGAGATGAAGCTGCAAGACAGGCAAGGCTGGTTCTAGCAGCAGACACACGGAAGCCTGCGCTGAACACATTAAACCCTGCCATCGAACTACTGGCACGGAGCCCGACAAGATGTAGATCAACCGTATCCTATCGGCTTTGTGAAGACTTGTGCCAAGGCTCGAACCGCAGTTGGAAAGTCTGCCATGTGACCGTGGATGTCGTTTAGGACCTCGTCGAAGGGCTTGCCTTCCACTGGAAGCAGCATGTTTTTGTCCTTAGTTCGTGGAAGAATTGTAGTTGTTGTGCCTTGCTTGCTGGTGTTGGCTTGTGACGGACAACCCCTTGACGAATCAACACAAACAATCGGCAAGTAAGGCCGCGTCCATTCCGTACCCTGTCAGCTTGTCGCCCACTCGAACGTTCATGTGGAGAGCCTCTTCATGCACCTGGGTGGTTCCTTTGTGGGTACCCTAAATATCAGGTGCCGTGTTATAATAGGGACCCAAAAAGGGACCATCATTTTGACAACCGCCCACCTCCATCACTACCGGCGTTTTGCCGAAGGCAAGGCCGAGAGGCTTCGTCTTCCACTCCAACATCCGAGACCTTCCGCCGACCGTCTCAAACTCCAACATCAATCCTGACAGACCCAGGGCCAGAGAGAGAGAAAGAGAGAGAGAAGAGGCTGCAGAGGGTCGCGGACGGAACAGAAGAAGCGTGCAGAAATAGAAGGTTACAAATAAAATGATTGTAGAGCCAAAGTCGCGGGGCAGCTCAGGAAGTTGAGAAACCAAGCCGCTGAGCTGCGACCAGAACTCATCGTAGGACTTGCTCCGGATCGGGCGCAGCCCGAGCTTTTCCTGAGTCTGAAAAGATTTTAGATGAATTTAGCATTTGGTCCACCTGGGTATTGAAGCTTCAGATGAAGACCAGGATGAACCCCACACAGCACCAGGATGGTCTCGGTGGTGGCAGCGGCGGCGGTAGTGTGACCATGATGACGATGATGGTGTTGTTGAAGGTGACATGTGTGTTGTGTGTGAAGATCCGGCTGTGCTCACTGAGAGACAACCTTTTGGATTGTCATGACAGGTACAAGTTTGCAGATGTTCGCATTCATGCTTTACGGGCTCTTTGGCTTCGCCCGCACGCCCGCCTCTTGCGCAGAACCCTGCCACGCACTGCCACCAACAAGGCTAACAGGCAGCTGCATCAGAAGATTTTTCACACTTACATACATACATACATACATACTTAATTACGCCGTACACTTTGATGGGGTTCGACAGTCGAAGCTGTCTGGGCTGTTTCGGGGGCTGGTGACCGAGGGCCAGGCGGTGCCAAGTCTGACGAGCTCGTCCCCCTCCAGCACCCCGGAACGCCCCGCTTCTTCGCCCACAAAGGCCACAATGGCAGGCAGCGATTTGTGAAAGCCGAGACCGAGAGGCTGATGCTTCCAAACGCCCGTTTGCATCCACCCGGTGGGCGTCCTGAACTCGAGCACGAGGAAGTCATCTTCGTCCAGAACAAGTGGCGGAGGCTCTGCGGGTGAATAGGAGCCGCACCAGGCCGCTGCGATCAGCACTCCGGCACAACCGCATCCAGCCATAATCCACCCAAGAGTAGACCAAAGTATACGGCTCCGCCTCTGGATGATCATCAGCCTCATGCCAGGCTTTAGAACATCCCCTGGCAGTAAATCAGAGAGCATCTCTACCACCTGGCCGTAAGCGGGTGATGGCACAATTCGCAGGCTGCCGGAGTCCATTACGCTATACAACTGATCTCCTTTGTCCACTACATCACCACGGGCGACGAACCATTGCTGGAAAGCAGACCCGTCCGCACGAAGCCCAATCTGGCCGCGATCTTCTGCCAAGGGTTTCTCGAGCCAGCGATTTGGGATGGAAATCGCTGCTGTACGTCCAGTAGGAGTTGAGCACAGCAAAGCTGCTTCCGGAGTGAACTGAAACAGCTGATGGTTGTCCCGCTCGCCAGTCTCGAGCTGAAGCTTGAAGCTCTGAAGATTCGAGAAACGCACCGAGACGCTTCGCTTCAAGTGCTCGGGGCTTAGGTTCTTCGGATCCGAAGGGCCATCCAGGGCTTCCGCCCGTTCCGACGCAGACAAGACGATGCTACCGGCGTTCATGTTCTGATGAACATCAACCGAGGAGTCGTTCGATCGAATCGCATCAGTCCAATTACCGGAGACATCAAGGACCCTCACCACCTTCTTGCTGTCGACCTTGTGCTTCCAGTTCATGTCGTAGAAGGACAGGGCAAACTGAGGCAGAATCATGGGATCCCGGGTCTCTGGATCTCGGAAACTCACGTTGGCGACGAGCTGGCTGGACGCCACCGTAGACAGGACGGCGAAACCATCTCGAATGCCCATCTTTTTGGCATGCCAAGGGTTGAAATCCTGGTTCAGTGCTACAAGCACCATCTCGACCTCTGTGCCGTTTTCACCTGAGTTCTTGCCAAAAAGCGCTGTCGAACAAGAGCTCCAATCTCAGGATTTAGACACTCCTTCTCTATTACTATACCCTTCCTTCCCCTCAGCCCTGTGCAGAAGCCCCCGCAGCCCTGCCTGTGAGCCTGTAGACGATGCTCTCTTCGCCGTCGTCTGGGCCGAAGCCGCCCAGGTTGCGGTGAAGTGCCTCGCGAAAATGTAGCCTCCCGGAAGAGTCGCAGTCTCCCAAAGGCTCCCAGAGGCGCAGGCCCGGGGGCTTTCCTGGACGGGCTGAATACTATGGGGCCTTTATAATTAGAACAAGGATTTGGGGCCCACTGTGCCATCAATAAAATAAGGAGCCCCCAAAATAGTGGAGGCAATTATTAAGGCCCAGATATTACTCACGCACGCAGCAGGGGCCGGGGTCAGCTGAGGTCTTCACCAACTAAACAACACGAGTACGCAACAGAAATCTTACCGAATCTTGAACAGGGCAGCTGCGAATGGCAAGGGCGCGGGGCTCCTCACAGAGGGGATGCCCGGTTATGTCGAGTATGCAAACAGATCCAACTACGCCTAGAATTGTAAACCCCCATATTTGGTTTTGGGGCAAGTTCGGACATACATGCTGCACGCAGTCCATTAGCAGCGAGCCTCTTGAAAACTGGTCTTTCCCACAAGAATGAGGGTCACCACGCAGGCAGCAAAAATCTGTTTCGTCCAGCGGAGCCGAGGGAAGTGGCTAAACCTGGCGCGGGCATGGCAAGATCTCAAGATGATCTCAATGATAAGAGTGATGGTGCTGCGAGGTATTAATGGTGAGCAGCATCATCAACACTATTACCACTATTCGATGCTATTGACCTCTTCGAAGTACCTACAACTGATCATACCTACAGTGTTGCTACATTACAGAAATGGGTCACACTGCTTGTAGTAGCGGCAGCGGTAGCGGTAGCAGTAGCAGCAGTAGCAGCAGGAGTGGCAGTAGCATTAGTACTAGTATTCGTAGTATTCGTAGTATTCGTAGTAGTCGTAGTAGTCGTAGTAGTAGTAGTAGTAGTAGCATCAGCAGCAGGAGCAGAAGTTGTAGTCGTCGTCGTAGTGGAAGTAGTGGTAGTGGCAGTGGCAGTGGTAGTGGCAGGAACAGGGCAGTGCTAGTGGCAGTGGTCGTCGTAGTTGTCGTAGTCGTAGTCGCAGTAGCAGTAGGAGGAGTCGTAGTAATAGTGGTAGGAGTAGCAGTAGTAGCAGCAGTGGCAGTGGCGGCAGCAGCAGAAATGCAAGTCGACTGCTTTCCCTGTCGTCTCGACCACCACGACGACTGCAGACTACGACCAGGACTCAACTACCCCAAGCGGTCTGTCGATCTCAGGCGATTCATGTCCAGGATTGTCCAGGTCAACGTCGTATTATTATTATTATACGTGATGAGCAAATGGTACTGTCCGGCAGCAGCACTTCGCAAGAAACCGGCCTGGACCCCAGGATTTCTTGAGCAGCTCGCGGGATAAGGGCATCTTCCACGGACTCCATAGAAATCTCGCTGAAGACAAGGAGTCAGCACATGGTTCGCATTCAAAAGCTGGAGCTGGCTAAGGGTTTAGGGAATAGGGTTTAGGGTTTAGGATTTAGGGTTTAGGATTTAGGGTTTAGGGTTTAGTGGTGCTCGCAATGCTTACTCGGTCAAGTATGGCCAAGGCGCGGCTAGCGAGAGTGCTCTGAAGCTAGTGAGAATCCAAACATTGGCTGTTTGACCTCTAAGACAAGCACGTTCTTTGCAACATGGAAGAACTGAAGAACCTTGCTGTTTCCTTCAATACCCATCTACAACACATCATCCCAAATTAGTTCACTCTCTGGTTGTGTTGCTGCCATGACTAGTGACTCCAGGAAAAAGCCCGATGCTTGGTAGAAATGAAAATGGCCACATAGGATCGCAATCGGAACCGACACGTCACAGTGAAGAAACGCCGGCACATGGCATGCTAAGTCATCAGAATCAGGGCTCTGGCTGCGTGGGGTCTTGATGCTCATGGGCGACGCCATGTCTTGCGCTAATATTGGTAATAATACTAGCGATTAGTACTTGTAGTAGTGATAACGGTACGTGCAATCGAAATAATAATGGCATTAGTAATCAATAGTGATAATGGTAACCAGAATGTTCAGAGTGCAAATGATACCACTGCTACAAGTAAGGATAGCACTGCTAAAGAGCTGCGCAGACAAAACGAAGGACGCCTGGGGCCAGAAGATGGCACAAGTGCTTCGGCTGAAGGACTGGTGCGGCAAGTTTGCTCTGAGCTTATCTCCAGGAATCGTTACGAATGTCACATATTCCACCTGTGCGGAGCTAAGCGTGGCGCCGGGCTAAATCTGCTCAACTAATGGACTCGTCTACCCAGTCCTTAATGTTAACGACGCGCGCCGAGGATGGATCTAGCGCAAAGTGAACCACAATTTCGGCAAGCATAGCCAATCCACACGGATGCCTCTGCATGTTAACATCACTCTCTTTTCTGCTGACGTCGATAAAGCCGACTAACTGTACAGCACTTCTCCGGCACTTCCTGCCGAATGTAAAGTTTAAATCGAGCGGTCTTAGCGGTACCTGAACGAATTTAGCACATCAGCCGCTGAACCACTCTGCCGCCGGAATGACATTCTTCTTGCCCTGCTGGCCCTTCTTTTTCTTCTGGCCGCCCTGACCGACAAATTGGGATGCACATTCATCTTGATGTGCATTGGCTCACCTATGTGCCTACGTATACAGAAAAAGCTATATGCCTGTACAAGTTCACACGCAATCATGTCATCAGGCCCTTTCCATCGCAAGATACTGTTGAGTTGTGTGTGTGCCTTTATATATATATATACATGTGTCACGAGTATGTATGTGTGTGTGCATGTATTTTATGTGTGTGTACATATATATACATATATGCATACATATACGTGCACTATGTACTCGTGCGCACGTGTGGGTTTCACATTGAATGCGTGCATATATCGAGAAAGAGAAAGAGGAAGAGAAAAGAGAGAGAGAGAGAGAGAGAGCAGGAAGGAAACATGTAACCCCACCTCCTTGGCAGGAGCTTCAGATTCATCACCTTATACAGGCAGTGCTCATGGTGCATGGCACAAGCAAAGCGATTTCCAAATCGAATGTGGCAAGCCTTCGTCAAAGAACACAACATCCCAACCGTGACCGCACTTATCACAGCCTTCTTCAACAGGTAGTTATAATCAACCATGGCACATCGGTGCCTAAGTGCACGGAAGTTCAAACGGATAATCGAATTCAGCTTTGACTGTGATGACGGAGGTTTTTTGTGCACCGGGAGTTGCACCACGAAAGGTTCACTTGAGCTCCCCACCCTTGGTGAGAAGAAGCAGCTCCTGGCCCAGTGATCAAAGCCGGCCACACCACCGAAATCGCCAAACATGTCTTTCTCGACAGTAACCCATTTCGACACGGATATTCTGCCACGAAGCTGCTTGGCACAGTGTCTGATGTCGGTCCTTATCCGCATGAAGGGGGATCAGCTCCTGACATCCGGTCGTTTGTGGCTTCCAACCGGGGTTCTCAGCCCTAAGATGCATAAGTAGAAATGGGGTTTGGAGCATGGTACCGCTCAGTTTTCAAGGAGAGAATGTAAGGAGACACTGTTTCTAATAATTCCGGCTATTATCGCACAAGTCAAAACTCCCAGAATGGGGGAATGTGTACAGGTGTTCGAAGAAACAAACATCGGTGTCCATGCCGCCTCCTCCTTGTCATCCGTGTTGCTGCTGCTTGCCTTGCACAGTGTTGCTAAAGATAGTCTGGTAGGCATGTGAATACCTGTTTTATAGTAAAGCTGGAAGCTGTAGTGGCTCCGGAGAGGATTTTCAAAGGCTTAATACAGGTTAGGGCCCTGGGAGTCTGAGCGTACTCTGTGTTGGGTTTTTGGGGTTAGACGACATGAGGCGTTTTGGCTGTGCCGGGACGTGCACAACTCTTGGTGGGGATGTCCCAGGGGGACGAAGGTGGCGACGCAGGGGCGGTACATCCACGTTTGCAAAGCCACTGAGCCAGCTAAGGCCGATCAGTGCGTCAAAGCCTACCTCACAGAACCCTGCTAACCTATCAAAACCTGACTGCCCGACGATTGAGCTTGCCCGAGGGTCCGAAATTGCAGAGGGACGTAGCCGAAGAGAGTGCCCGTTTGGCTTGCGAGACATGTGTTGCGACGACGTCGCAACACATTTCTCGCAAGCCAACCTCACTTCGAAGCTTTACCCTCGGGCAACGAGGACAGCACAGGTCTCGGCAAGGGCCAGGCTGGCCTGGAGCAGCTGAACTGCGGGAACCTGGCTGGGTCAGCATTCTCCTCCACGTTGCCGAGCGATGCCGCGACAACACTCGCTGTCTGCAGGGCTTGAAGCTCCTGGGAACTCTTCGGCGTTTCGTCTTTGCCTCTTGACCTGATCCGCTGCAGAATGCAGCTCATGTGGGCCCACATCAAGCGGCAAGCATCCCTTCACGAGGCTCTGTTGCCCTGCGATGGCCCGGATGTAAAGCAAGTTGCAGGAGTCTTAGGGTCTCTGACAGACAACATGGAGAAGAATCAACGAACAAAGCGAGACCTGCGATATTCTTATGCAAGCTTTCTGCCTTAACTGCCCGCTTTTGGCAGACTTTCAAGGCAAGCTCTCCCGAGCCCGATAGACCGAAATTTGTAGCCCCTAAGGCTGTGCAAGCCTTTCCCGAGGGTTTGCTGTGGCCGGTACACTGGGCTTCGGCACCGGTTTGGCTGCAGCCTGCAGGAAACATGCCCGGCCGCGTAAAGGCGAAAACTTGCAGACTCGAAGCCTCGAAGCCATGGAAATTTGGATATGGGGGTTTCCGAAAACAGGGGACCCCAATATAGTACCCTAAATAGTAGGATCCTGAATATAAGGGCCCCAGAATAAGGTACCCCTAATTTTCGGAAACTCCCATATGATGATAAGCAAGCAACCGGATTCAGCAAGCCTTGCCGTTGGTGACTTTCTTGGCGGGAACCTCCTTGCAAGTCGAGATGTTGCGTGTGCCAGCTCCAACCATCAGTTGCTGTGAGCATCAGCATGCCCTGGCAATGCCGTCCAGCTAAACTCCAAAAACTGCCGCACAATGCTGGACCCTTTAAATGAAATTTATATGCAAAATTCATTACGAGCACCGCATACATACGTAGCGATTCGACCAGACGACTTTGGATGGACAATGATGGATAGGGCATTCGGCTGGACGTGCTACAGCAGCCAGCTGTGCGGTCCTTCTGCGGCTTGGAAGGCACGGAGCTTTTCGGAAGCTGACACAGGGAAGCAAGTAAAATGCATCACTGGTTACAACTACTTGAGAACGAGGACACGCTCTGTCGCTCGCCACTCTTCCACAGCGACTACGATACTCTGCTTCTCAAGCTAGAAAGAAGCCTAAACCCTGGAACTTGGTAAAGAGACTGAGACGACCCTTCTTTCGCTGCGCCTCCGGAAATTGCTCTCCACCGGCCTCGGACCGGAGAAGCGCCACCCACCGGCAAGCGAGCGAGAAACACGGCGAGCAGTGTGCTCGCTAGGGCGTGAGTCCTACACCCTAGAGAACACAGCAGGGATGATGGCAAGACTGCTGGTGGGAGTGTGCTGATAACGATAGCGATAACAAGCAACATGGAGTTGCGGTAACGTTGACAGAGTGACAAAATCAGACTGAATATCGGCAACAGCGTTGTCATGGTCATGGCAATCGTCGTAGTAGTAGTAGTAGTAGTAGTAGCAGTAGCAGTAGTAGCAGCAGCAGCAGCAGCAGCAGCAGCAGTAGTGGGAGGAGGAGTAGGAGTAGGAGTAGGAGGAGTAGGAGCAGCAGCAGCACTAGCAGCGGCTTTAGCAAGAACAAGAGAGCCCATTGCAGTGACAAGACAAGTTATACCGTGCTTCTCAGGACCGTGATCTTTTCTGCGTTCAGAAACTGAGAACATCACGGGCGCCGGCGGCGCTTCTCTCGCTACCTGGTCGGGCGGCCAAGGCTCCGACGGGTTGGAATGGGTTGGATTCTTCGATTTGTCTCGATGCCCGGTGATTCAGGGCCTGGTGTTGGGTTTGGTGGGAGGGTCCAGAGTCTGGGTCATAAAGCATCTTGAGCTCCCTGTGAACCCGTCTAGACTCTGGTCCTCACGTTCTGGTCGTGGCATCCATCCAATCCCTGAAGGGCCTCATATGGAAAACAGGATTGTCGGGACAGGATGTGAAGGAACCTGGAGTCAGACATTCGAACAGCAAACCTTACCCGAAATCATTCCAAGCACTGAAAGCACAAACTACCATTCACAACACTTCTACGAGTTGCAGTAGGGATGTTGATTCATCCCAACTATAACAAAAACCAACCGGGACATGAAAGCCAACGCGGAATCCCCTACAGAATCCATTGTACGCTCAAACACACCGCAAAAAGAAGTCACATAAACTGAAACCTTAAACTCTAAAGCCTAGATAACCCCTACTAGCCC